TACTCTATATATATATATATATATATATATATATATAAATCTATCTTACTCTTCGGATTTGTTCAAGTATTTTTTCTGTTGCCTTTAAGGACTCCTACTGACGAGTGAATTTGTAGGAGCCCTAATAACAATATTCAAACAATTTTATGGTAAAAACATATCAAAAATGGATATATTTTTTATTTTTAATCATCAAATATCTTTTTTAATTTGAAAACAATAATTTTATATATTCGATGTATGATTTAAAATTTATTCCTACTTTTACAGGTGAAAATAATTGCCTCACCAATTTCGAAAACACGGCAGCATTTAGTCGCGATTATCAAAGCGCTCAGGACTGTATGTGCGACACAGAACATATGTTAGAATGCTCCAACGATTCTGGAAACAGTAACAGTTTATCAAATATGCATATTTCAAATTCTGATCTCAATCAAATTATCGAACAGTTTCAGGTAATTGAAATATATATATATAGTTATCGTACAAAATATGTATGGATTATAAAATTTTTTAACAATCAAAAGTATTACAAGAATTAATCTTTAATTTTATCCATGTTTCAAGGAAAAAGAACATTTGAATTTATGAATAAAATTAAATCGTATAAAATAATGAAATTAAAAATATTAATATTCTTTCAGGAAGAAAATCCATTCTTTCAAGGAGAAAAATTGCCCATAGCTGCAAAGAAAGGTATACACGTGATCGATTAAAGACTGCAAAAACGAAAGAAAATTGGAACATGAACATAAGAGTATATAATACAACTTTATTGATTAAAGTTTAAATCAATCGAGAAAAGGACGTTAGATTCAGATACTATTAGATGTATAACTAGGCTCCGCCTAATAATAATAATAATAATAATAATAATAATAATAATAATAATAATAACAACAACAACAACAATACAAATAGAACACACGCATTTACGCAGCGTTAAAGCGTCAAGTATTGAGAAACGTTGTAACATTTCCAAATCTGATGATGCACGGATAAAGTTCTTAAATGGACCAGGGCTGTTCATCAGCGGGTTATTAAAGTATCTTTTTTTCATAGCTCTCGCCAAATACATATAATTATATACATGCACGTTCTAATATTATAAGATGTCTATAACAGTTGAGATTATTTAGTTTATAAAATGTTTGAACATATTAATATTCTTTCAATTTACAAAAATGTATATGAATTTTATAAGATTTGCAAA